AATGGTTGCACACTACTAGGAGGAATCGACTCGCTTCTGAGAAGCTTCATAAACTACTCTACGTTCATTATAATTAAACCTCAGAAAACGACAAATAAGAAGGAAGCTTGAAGACTATGGGCCGATAGACTTAGACACAATATTTGTCACAGATACAGCAGACCAATGAGTAGTAGAAGAGGAGGAGCCAGTGTTGCCCAAGAGAGCGTTCCTTAAGGCTATCGGTGATGAAGATCTTGAAGAAAGTGATGAGCAGCATGAAAGAGGAAGCAGCCAGCCAACACATTCATAATTCGTCGAAGATGTTGGTGATATTGCACCTAGTGAGGGAGAGTGGGAAGGGGGTCTAAGAGAAAATGTCAGAGATGATGATTCTGAGGCCACCCTATCCCAGCCATATTATTCACATATCGAGTCCCAACAGCAACAGTGTAGGGATGAGGACGACAGTGCAGGTGAGCATGAAGGATGGACATACTTCAGGGATTTTGGATTGGGAACACAACAAAACACTAACACTCAGAGATTTGGAAATAGTCATACGCCTGCTAATATCGATGATTCGTTTTTAGATCGAATCAATGAATTGTCAAACGAATTCAATTAATGGCACCAGCGTGACCAAGAAGAACAACAACGTCGTCTATCATTTTATTTTTAGATCGTATGTTACTAATTTTATGCTTTAATGTAGTCCATGTATGTTGATATACGTATTCCATGATAATTCTATGTTTATCCTTTTGTGTGATGTAAATTAAATGCTGAATGGCGGTTCATGCAGAGAAAGAACATATCAATATTCGCATATTCATTAAAAAACATGAAAATTCTTAATGGAGTACCCTCATTTCTTATTGAATTCCTAAAAAACAATATTTATAATGAATTGTAATAACTTTTTTCGGATTTTTGAAGCTTTATTCTGACCGATTCACCCGATTCCCGATCTGGATCGCCGATCCGGATCGATTTTTTGGGTGCCCGATCCGGGTCACCGATCCGTTTTTTAAACCATTGCTTCCACTATAACATAAAATTTCTATACTTTTCCCTATCGAACCGTCCCTTCTAAATAGATGGCTTCGATGGACCCAATCACAATATATGGCTTTATACTATTTTATTTTTATAATTTTTTATACAAAACATTTGACACCAAAATTTTGAAAGTCCAATCCTCTATTGAACTAGCACCTATAAAAAAATATAAAAACAATATTCTCAATAAAATAAAATGATTAAAATATCCCTAAAATTTTTTGAGGTATTTTGACTATTATATTTTATCAAAAATATTTTTTGAATATTTTCTTTAGGTACGTCTTATTGAGGTGATGGCACGTACCAAATTTTATATTCATATAATTAGTATAAAAAATTAAAAATATAATTAATATAAAAAAATTAAAAATAAAATATTTTGAAGTGTCGGATCTAGATTAAATAGTTAGTGACTCACTTGATCTAAAATGAATAGCTGGATGAAAAGAGAAGTATATATATTTTTATGTTGTAGTGGAACCATAGAAACCTTCCCTTATTTTAATTTCCCCTCTCAATGGCATGTGATTGTGGGGAATCCCTAAAATGAGCATGAAAATGGCATGAGACTGGAAAATTGAATACCCTAAAATCCCTTCCTGACTTAAGCCCAAGCAAAGATTTTTGGACTATTTTCCATTTTGGAGTGCGTGTGGGTTTTGATTGGGAATCCCTAAAATGTCTCATTGTTTCACTCTCATCAAATTTGTCATACAATCATAGCTAGGAAATCAGGTCTCCTTAGCAAAAACTCCAGCTTTGCAACACAGTGATTACCTAATAGATATAAGGAGACCATTTACTATTAATACAAGGAGATCATAATCACTCATGTCTGTCAAATTTCAAATCGGGTGGCTTTCAGTGTATTATTGACTAGATTTAAAGTTCAAAACAAATTTATCAAACTTTGTGTTATACTCCAAGCCATCCAACTCAACATATATCATAAAAGTAGAAGAGTACAATGAGCTCACCAAGAGAGAAAGCGATATTCCAATGACCACAGTCCACAAATAGAAGCATTCATCTCCCATTACTCATTTCATGTCTCGGTCAATGTTTTTTTAATGAATTGTGATAAAGCACTGAAAATGACATGCTTCTTATCTAAAGCTCAAAATAATTGAAGAAGGCATTTTTAGGCCTTCAAAAGTTAACATTCAAAAAAGAGGGAAAAAAAAAAAAAAAAGTTTAGTCCTGCGTTGGATGTACTTGTTCATGAATAATCGTGTTCTCTTCCTCAGCTACTCATGAATGGGAATGAGCACCGTCTAGTTTGCTCGAGCTGTTCAAGAGCAGTGCTCATTGGTCTAATCTGATGGTTGAAAAATATGGATATCCGAAGGTGTTTACTTCTTTTCTCTTTTTTTTGTATTTTTTATTTTTTATTTTTTATTTTTATTATGAAGTGTCAATCTTGTATTATAAAAGTAAGGTGCATCAAAAACCCACTAGGTAAGGTTGGTTCCACACTAGAAAACTGCCTAATTGATTATATCTCAACCTCGAAATTTATGGATGTGAAAACTAAAAAAGATTTCAAGTCTTAACATAGTTCATCTTGTAACAACATTAGATAGACCATAGATTTTTAAGATTTTCAAATTTATACATTTGATCAATAGTATATTTAAAATTTTAAATTTTATAATTAGGGGAGAAGATTTTCACGAGATTGTGGTGGTTTTTGGAACTCGAAGCAATCTTCAAGCCGGATTTGGAGGTGTGCCTTACTTTGTTTGTTTACTTTGTTTAATATAGACGCCTTATATAAGCCTCATACATTTTTTAAAGGGTATTGTTTTTGTAGAGCCAATGCTCCAAATAATCAAAGTAAAGTGCACCTTTAAATAGTACGAAAAAATATGGTTTCAATACTGGAATTCTTTGTGATAGCCTTAAAATATATTTTCATATTGAATTATAAAATTTAAAGCTCAAAAAATATTGCAGATAGAGTAGATTTATGAAAACTTGAAAACTGACACTCCAAAAATGTGTTACAAGATGCACTATTTCCAAAACTTGAAATCCATTTTTTTTCTCATGTCTGTGCATCTTGATGTCGCGATGATCAATTTGAGGATATTTGGTCATTAAAACAACATTGTCTAGTGGAATTTTTGAGGTGGGCTCTAATTTGGTTGTTCAAATCGGCTCTATATATATACTTTTTCCTTTTTTAAATACTTATTCATTAATATATTTATACGAGCATCCAAATTGACCCTCGATATTTGATTTCTCATACATCATTATTTCCTTGATGAGTTATAATATTCATATCACGGCTAAGTAATCATTTTCTTTTGATAATAGATATATATGATGTGCACCTTTTTTAAACTTTAAATTTTATAGACCAATGCAGAAACTATAAGACTAGAACTGCATCTTTCAGTTGGATTCTTTTAGATTGAATGGCAGCCATACATTCATCTTTTAAAGCTATTCATCTTGTAACATTCCTCCCAAATGACAAATAGTCCTCGGATTGTATAACGTGACGTATGCAATTTCAAGGTAGTAAGTTGTAAGGCAGTTGAGATGAATGTTTCTCCACCAAATTCACATTTGCGGAATGGTTCACATCATCCATACATTGTTTGGTGTAGAATGCAGTTTTACTAATGTATCACAGTTATCAAGATAAGACTAGGCCGGTGGTCCGATTTGTCGGATTATCTATTGGTGCTTTGGCTAGTTTGGTCTAGAATAAAAATTTTGATAAAAAATTAGTCCAAATCAAAGTTTGAATAGTCCACCATCCTATTCCAACAAATTTGATAGGCCAAACAAAGTGGGTAATTTTTTTTAAATATACTGCTATTTTTAAAACTATTATTTATAAATATTTATTAATTTTTATTTTTTTAAATATACTGCTATTTTTAAAACTATTATTTATAAATGTTTATTAATTTTTATAGTTTGGTTAAACCTGTTTAACTGCGGTGAAATTAGTCTTGATCGGACTAAATCCCTCACCAGACCCAAATAGCAATGGTTTGTGTATTAGAACGCACTGTAACCCATTTTCTCAAACAATTATTATTTTTACATATCATTTAATCTTTTGTAATTCTGCTTAGATACTACCTTGTTTTATATATTTTCCTTTTCTCTTTAACCATCCTCTATGTAAAGAAAAAGTTTATCTAGAGTTGAGGCTCTAAACAATCAAATTAGAGCCCACCTCAAAAATCTCATTAGAAGAGGTTGTTTTGATGCCCAAATATCTTCAAATTTATCATCTTGAAATTAAGATGCATGGACATGAGAAAAAAATGGATTTCAAATTTTAGAAATAGTGCATCTTGTAACACATTTTTGAACCGTCAATTTTTAAGATTTTCAAATTGTTTTAGATCTGCTCAATGTACACTATTTTTGACGCTTCAAATTTTATAATTAAAGAAGCTATCACAAAGATTTCAAGTATTGAAATCATATTTCTAGACATTATTTAAAGGTGGGCTTTACTTTGATTGTTTAGAGCCTTGGCTCAATACAAACTGCACCCTCATGTAAAGGGAGAATATCTGGGTGGTCTTGCTAGACTAAACCCAATATTTGTTTCTCGCCCAAAGTATGTCGGTGCTACTTTTTATGTGAAACGCTTAGATCATGTTAACTTATCCTTGATGTCAATTTCCAAAAAAAGAATTATTTAAAGCTTAGAAACAGCTCCAAATCAATTTCTTATCACAAATTTTTTTGTGAACCGCCAAGGACATTGACAACTTTGGACTTAAGCAATTCGTGGATAGAATCAATTGTACTTTTACAATTATTCACAATATTACTACAATAATCATCATAACCATGAGTTTTGAAAACACAAGCAATGCCAATTATTCCAAATCCAATCATGAAATGGGGTGGACCCACTCCCACCCTCAGTCACCCATAGCCACAATAAATTCATTGAAGCCTTAGAATGCATCCATAAATAAAGACTTTCATGCTGCCTTCTAATTTTGCCAATAAGAGGTGCAATTCCAAAGAATGACACATAAAAAAGCTCCACTATAGATTTTAATAAATAGGAAATGCCCCAACTTTTGACTAATAGGTCTTAAAGAAAATTTATTGATTCCTATAAATGCACACCTCATTTAAAGTGTAATTGCATCCACACTAGGTACATTCCGTGAATCGAAACTCGACGAGTCCGACTCAAACATCCGGCCAGTTCCTAATATTTTTATGTTACTTTTTACTTATTGAGCCGCAACGGACTCAGCAGAGTTTATCATACCTGACTCGGGCTCCAGAGCCTAGCGAGTTCATGTCCGAGTCTGCGTCTCAAACCACTTGGTACACGGCTGTAGTAATCTATGGAAATATGTAAAGTCACATGATAGAGCACCATGGTGTGGGTTCATCCACATAACACTGATAGACGATCTGTGGCTCCTTTGGGTACATGGGCATGGGGTCAAAAAAGTGATGCTGATGGATCACAATTTGTTCTTTTGGCTCTGGTGGAGTTGTCTTTGGTGGCTCTTGCTTTACCTTATCTTCTTTTTTCCCAGGGTCTACTTTACCTTGCTCAGATTCAGTTTTCTTTGGGGCTTCTTTAGTTGACTCTGTCTCTGCCTTTTTCAGGGCTTCATTAGCTGGCTCGGGCTCGGCCTTCTTTGTGGGTTCTGGTTGTTTGTTAGATTGTGGCTCTGGCTTCTTTTCTTTGACTGGATTCACTTTAAGAAGGCGAGCTAGCCGAAATTTCTTCTTCAATAAACGTTCAATCCGACCCGAATCGATAGACTCGCCAGAGAATGCTAGTGTATGTTTATCTTTGCCAGTGACTGATATTGTGTCCACACCTACACGATCCGAAAGAAACTAGTGTGAATTCCCCTTCATAAGGCCCCTTGTTTCTTTTTCTTCTTAACTTTCAATAGCACTTTTAATGGAAGAAAAAAGAGCAATACAAGAGAAGCGATAACTATTGGCCAATTGATTGCAGTGCATCTCTAAAGTTGAAGAGGGTTTCCTTGGCTTGGGACAAGCCGAAATTTAAGATTTGGAAAAAAAAATATAATGGAAAACAAAAGCTGGAGAGATCAGTTACTTAAGAAACGAAAGATCAATCAGGACTGAATTTTGAGAAATCTTATGGAATCACAAGCAATAACCCCAGCAGGATTTGTGAGAAACTCACCGCCGGATTTCACGACCTCTGCCATGGCTTCCGCCTGGCACTTTTCGCATTTCATATTCACCCAGATCTCCACCTCTTGCTGCACTCTTACATATTAATCAGCATGTTCTTAACTATATATAACAAATATATTAAGTATGCTCATGTCAACAAACAGTTAAATACCCAAATGATTTCCAATATGAATGGATCTACATATATATACATAATTTCACACAAAAATTTGCATTTGAAATTGGATGCATGCATTTTCTACTTGAAAGGGAGATCAAATTAGTACCAATGATTCAAACCATGAATGAAAATGCAAGGAAATTAAATAAATTCTTTAAAAAGAAATCCATGTAACCGAACCAGACCTTCATGATTGAAGAGAGATTTCTCAGCTGTGTAGCTTGAAGACTGATATGGGGGATCTCTACCTTCTCTAAAGCTCTCTTATGCCGACGAAAATGAACCCCCAACAGAGTTTATAAGTGGTCGCAAATGTAGCCTTTTTATTTTGGTGGTAGTCTTTTGTTCTCGTTTTATTAACTTAAAATAGAGAGAAGACCTTCAATAATAATGTTTCTCTCTCTTCCCATTTTTACTGATAAATGTAAGATCCTAGAGAGAGAACTTTATTGAGCAATTTCAAAACCGCGTCACCCCCTATTCATCTTACCCTGGAGGCTCCTTAGGATTGAAGCCTGTCATCCAAAATCCTAACCGACAAGCTCCATGACAATGTGATAACCAAAAGCTTAAAAAGATAGTAACCACGCACACAGTAAGTACAATGAAAAGAAATGGCACAACTACATATTTAAATTTTCATGGTTCTTCATTGATGTGATTACATCTATAGGTAAAGAAGATCGTTGATGTGATTACATCTATAGGTAAAGAAGATCTGGTTTCACTATTGTAATTCTACAAGACAGCTAAACTCCCCCGAAATTCTCGAGTCCAAGGCTTTCACTACTGTAATTCTACAGGACAGCTAATCGTTAGTTGCCAACAGCTCAAGCGCAATTCGATTCCTACCACTGAACTAATTAAAAAAAAAAAAAAAAAAGCACTGAAAATATACATAATACCAAAAAAATAGGAATAGGAAAAATTGTAAAGTATTAATCTTTAGGGTCACTCAAGTATTCACACACACTATGTCACAAGATGTAATCCATGACATAGTTGCAGGTCACCAAAATATCATTTTTAAGTTATGCAATTATAATGTTTTGTGAAAATGGGAGTTTAGTTGTTATGGTAGTTAACTCATAACTTACCCGTTAGTTAACAGTTAGGTAGCACCTTTGCCACTTTTTAAAGACACAGCGCACCCACCAGTGAGTTAGATCCACAAATAGAGACTAGCCCATTGATTGGATTCCTCTTTTATTTCATTGCATTGAGAACTAAATAGAGAACGCTGGAGACAGGGGAGAAAGAGATTATTGATTTTTCTTTCCAAAAAAAGAAAACAAGAGATTATTGATTTTTACAATAAAACATGGCCTTTTTATTATGGAATTGGAGGTAATTAACATTTAATACAAGGGTAATACTTCCTTTTAATTTTAGCTAAAAATTAACTAATGGCCTTCATTAATTTTAACTAAAAATTAACTAATGGCCTTCATATACTTGAAACTCCTTAGTGGGATCACTTCAAACCATTAATTGATTCCATAATTGAAACAACCAGATCTCTCTCTCTCTCTCTCTCTCTCACACACACAGAGCAATATATATTATCTAACGTGTATTATACAGAGAATAACATGCAATGTTAATGCATCAATATTATCAGCCATTCCTCTTCCTGTCAAGCATGAGAATAGCTCGTATCCACCGTCTGCTCTTAGAATATGGATGGTTACGATGGCATGTAACGACTTGTAGTTACATTCCAAATATTTTAAACTCACAAGTAAATGAAAGAAATGTACGATGGAAGAACCAAATCCAATATGCGGAACATCGAATAATGTGCAGTGCACTTGAAAATGCATTTCACTATTGGGAAAGTACTTAATAAGTCACGCCCCAATAATGCATTTCACTATTGGGAAAGTACTTAATAGGTCACGCCCCAAAAATGCATTTCACTATTGGGAAAGTACTTTATAAGTTACTCCCAATAATGCATTTCAGTATTGGGAAAGTACTTAATAACTATTGAGAAAGTACTTAATAGGTCACGCCCCAAAGATGCATTTCACTGTTGGGAAAGTACTCAAATAGGTCACGCCCCAATGATGTATTTCACAATTGGGAAAGTATTTAATAAGTCACTGTTGGGAAAGTACTTAATAGATCACGTTTGGTTTCTCATGCGGTGAATTTTTTCTTATCCATTGGTCTTTGTGTTTTTTTTTTACACCAATTGATCTTGGAAACATAGCTTTTTCTTTAGATCAGGAAGACCTCCCTCTTTCTATCCAATCGCCTACCCCTCAAAAATCAGCTCTATATTGTTTACCATTATAGGCCACAAAAAATGAAGGTCATAATGAGGGTGGCAATGGACCCGATCAGACTTTAGACCCGACGGGTGCGGGTATAGGTTCAACTTTTGGATCCAACGGATCGAGTCTGAATCCAAAACCAGCATCATTTCATATTAAGTGTTTTCATAGTTTTAAGGTTGATATGGAGTCTTCTGTGTTTTATAATCAAGGTGTTTTTATTTGTCACTATTCTCTGGTTGATATAAGCCGTTGATTTATGGAAAAGTGTATTATGCTTCCTAAGGGTTACACTTGAACATACTTGATTAGAAGCATCACCACAGCTTGACTAATTTGGGACGGTCGAGATTTGACAGCACGTTTATGGTTTCTCGCAAAGGGTCTAGCGCTACATAGATAAGCTCTCACATTTACAAATCAAAATCAATGCCCCAAATTGTAATGCACCATGGGGCCGCACCATTGGTGGTTAGCAGCGCAGGTGCCTGTACATACTTCAAAAGAATTTCATCAATTATCATTTAAAAGTAAACTTAAATAAAACCTTATTTACAAAATCATGATGTGGGGATGAATTGGAGCATGGGTTCCTCATCCAATTAAAAGCAAAAAGTTTTCGCAATGGTCAAAAGATCCGGATTGCCTATCCCAAAAACAGTCCGGATTGGTGGACCAACAATTTGGATCAACAATCTGGCTTAGAGAATCAGACAAAAAAAATAAAAACAAAAAATTGAGAAAAATTAAAAATAAAAAAATGATAAGAATAAAAAAAGGTATCGATCGACCATTTCCCACATCTGGTGGGAACCAAACCGGCTCCACCAATTCCTGAAACAACGTTTTTTAAAACCCTTAGAATGTTAGGGTAATTTTCCCTTCCCTCAAAAGACACTTTTTCATATTGGTCCTCTTAAAAAACAATCTCTTCAAAATAAAATTTATTTTGAAGTTCCAATTCCAATTAGATCCGGATCAAATTATATCTTGGATTACGAATCTATTGCTACCCCTGGAACATATTTGGGCCGTCCATTTTTTTCTGAACAATACATATACAAAAATCCTGATCATTTTCTAGAACTCCGATGCAAATCCCATGCAGAAGATCATGATATGGAGCTGGTTTGCTACACATTTCAAAATTTGCTTATATAGTAATGAACATGTAATTTTTTAAGAAAATATTTATCTTTGATACAAAAAAGTCACAATAGTAAATAACTTTTAAATCGGGCAGCATAATTGTGCCATTAACTAGTCTTAAATTTTTTTACAAGAAATTTTTTAATCTTTGTGATACATTTCAAGCTTTAGGATTTGACATCCGAACACTTTAATTAGTGACCCCCTTTTATTAAAGGAAAATGATATTTTAGTTTACCTCCCATCTATAAATATGAAGGATATAGATCTCCCTTAAGGCCTCAATCAAAAGAAAAAGTGTTTTGTGAGTCAGCGGACTCACTAGCCCGCACAATCACAAACGTCCATCTTTAAGATGAATATCCACAACTAAAGATTCCTATCCATTGGGTAGGAAAATATTCTAATAAAAATATTTTAAATTTTTATTTTAATGTATTTCATTTTTTATATCGTGATCATCATAGTGTAGATCATGGATCACTACAAAATTTGGATCCAAAATTGATACAAATAATGGCCGTTCAAAGGAACCCGCGTGAAAATAGTATAAGTCGAGGGACTCATTAAAATCTAGTCCTAATCAATGATGTTTCTTCCTCGCCCTGATTAAGATTTTTTTCCTTATTTCCTTGTCCAGCACGTTACGCACTTGATTAATGCTCTACTTACTTAATTATGCACTCAGATTTATAAACGACAGAGACAAGTACACCAACTGAAACCCACTGCCAAGTGCCAGACAAAAGGTTTAGGCCGGTGTTTTAAACCTCAGATAGGTATACGTGGGGCAAATCGTTCATCAGTGATCCATGTTCGATCACTGGATCGAACGATACAAGGTCAGGTCTGGATTTATTTGCATCGATGATCCAAAAAATTGTTAATAGATAAATAAAAATTAAAGTGAGTTCATAATCCAGGGATATATAGGGGACTCTATGAAAGCATTAAATAAACTTTAGAAAAAGAAAAAAAATATATAAGAGGGGTTTTTGAGGGGCAACTCAGTCACGACCCATACCATCTCCGAATCGGTTCGGTCCTGACCGATTCCCATCCAAAACAACACTTCAAATTGGAAATCTCAAGGTTTTAAAACACTGGTTTAGGCTAAGTAAAACAATGAAGGAAGACGTTAACCTTTGGAATGTTTTTTTGGTTCCATGGCTTTTTCCCTCACCCTTGCAAACCCGTGACAAATGAATTTTGCACGGGTGAAGAAAAAGAACAAGTTCCTCAAATAAAAGAATTTTTTAAAAAAGATAAAAGTTTCATAATAATCTACTAAACAAGTTATTAAGGAGACAAAACCCTAGCTAATTTACCGAGACCATCGGCTCCAATTTAAGAGCATGTTTGATTGGTGGAAGAGGCTGCTGCCAAAGCAACATCTTCCACTTACCCCATAAGCCACAGCCTTCATGGGGTAGCATAGAAAAAGTGCCTTCCCAAGAACAATGTATTATAAAGCTATTTTAAAAGTAGTTGGAAGTAGCGACTTCCAAAACAACAACTCACTTCCAACATAACAGACGCAAAAAGTCCCAGAAGCCACTCTGCACAAAACAAAATGAATTGCTGTATCTTTCTCATTTCATTCTTAGTCTTAATAACATTTAACGACATTCAACATGTGACATTAGCTATAAATCCATGACAATTTTTTAAACTATTAAATTTCGTATATTAATGTTCCAATATGGGGTCCTATAATGTTTTGATGGAACAAGACCTTCCCATCGTTGGATTGGCCGAGAAGATGATCTCCACGGTACAATTGCATATGATAGGGGACCACCCACCAGATGTGCTCCTGAATTTTTTGTAGTCACATAATGGAACAACACGGCTGTGCACCATTCTTTTCATAATCTTTAGACTCAGCAGGAGCATTTTTGGGCTGAAATGGAGCCTTTGGTTTTCCTCTCTCTTGCTTTTTATCTTCTTTTTTATCTTTGGTCCAATTCACAGTGAGTAGTTGTCCACTGTTGTTGCATTTGTTTCCTACTGGTGTTGTTAAACGAACACAATTGATCTTATCTCCACGCACTGTCACCCTTTCTACTTGTTGGCTGCCCTTTTGCACTCCTATTTGATCATGGAAGAACTGTTGCAAATGAGTATTTTGAAATAAATACAGTAAATAACTAGATTGTTTGGTCACTTGGAGAAATTTAGGTAATTGATTCTAAAAAGTAATTATTAGTGTCACACACTTAATGCAAAACCGGACAGGTCAACCCTGCCCTGGCCGGGTTACGTGGAATCGGCCACTGGCATGGCCAGTTTTGGCCGGTTAGGGTTGACCACCCTAAGTTAAAAAAAATTCAAAAAACATTATAAAAAATCCAAATGAATTTTTTTTATTTTATTTGTTATAGGTTTTTTAATGTTTTCTATTGTTTCGAAAAATAATGAGAAGTATTCTTGTCATAAATATTTATTTTTACATTTTTCCATCTTGCTTAGATTATTTTTAAAATTTATATTTCAAAATCCATTTTTCACTACTTTTTTAGTCTCATTTGGCTGCAATTTGTTTAATTAAATTTCAAAATTACTATTCATATATTTTGTTATTTTTTTCTATTTGTTATACTTTTTTTTAACCCTTTTTAGCCGGTTGGGACTTGCCCAGTTAGAGCCCATTACATGTTGGAGATTTGGTTGGTGAAATGGGGGCAGAAAATGGTACGATTTGCAAAAATCGGTCTCGAACTCTTCTTGTTTTCAGACACGTACGAGCGCTATCTCAAGACCCTATTTGCCCCCACTTCGATGTACTATTTGTTGTGTATCAGAAGGGCAATTCGTCTTCAAGATACAGAAAAACATAGGATCTTTTTCTTTGTTCCTAAGCACTATGCACCCGAGCTTGGAACCCATACAATAGACACCTGAGTCTTGATAGTTTAGAGAGAGAGAGATAAAATCTAGTAGAGAGAGAGAGTTAGCCCGTTAGCCCACTGGTTTCCTTGCTGGAATTGCAAATAATAATATCTTGAGAGAGGCTAAAAAATTGTTCTTAGTATGTCAAAAAGCTCACACTCGTATGAATAGGAAGGTCCTTGTCATAGAGCACCAAGAGGTTGCCCATTTAGTGTTGTGGTGGTTATATGCATCACCTAACAGCTACAAGTTGCATGAGTTATATGCACCCCAACAAGTACAAGTTAGGTGAGTTACATGTACTTGAATGCTGTTGTTACAAGCCTCCATCTCATCAACGGCTAGATGACCGTTAGATATTCCACACTCTTCGACAGCTAGCTTACCGACACTCTTCGACGACTAGCTTACGACACTCTTTTATGGTTGGCTTACCGATACTCTTTGACGGCTAGCTTACTGATACTCTTTGAGAGCTAGCTTACCGACACTCTTCGACGGCTAGAAGAGCTTCGGATTCCTTTATGAGCCGGGCTCACAAAAAGATAACGAGCCACAAGCTAGACCCATACACGTGCTCAGGCGAGAGGCACCTTATGCACCGATGCAAGCATGCGAAGTGCATCATCAAGTGCCCTTACGCCTACGCACACGCACATGCACATTGCATGCTTTGCGTGCTTCGTACAAGTGCCTTTTCTTTTTTTTGTACTTAGAGTATATTCCATCGGAATAAGTGCTCTTAAATATGGCTCAACAAACTCTCTCCTCTTCAATGTGGGATTCAAACCCACATCTTTCTCTTTCTATAAAACATTTTAAGAAAGAACAATGAAACTATAATCAAAGTAATTTAGGAAAAAATAATATGCCATAGTGTTGTTTTGAAATACATATAAGTATTTTTCTAACAAAAACTATTAACAATCTCTGCCACTATTTTAAAATAACAAAACAAAACATATGAAACATATTATTTGCATACCATGAATGTACATTTCGATTTGAACTTTCACTTAGAGTGTACATTACAAAGTCCATCAAGTACCGTGGTAGCGTATAACTTTGAATCAGGTTGCTTATTTAACAGATAGGTAGTACAACTCACAAATAATATTTAACTCTGATGTCTTTTAACTGTCAGCACGTTTTGGGCCATGTGCTTATATCTCGATTTCATAAGTGCTCTAGAAATGAGTTTTATCTCATAAGAAGCGGTCTCACTTCCACACTTAAATAGATGTGTCCATCAAGAGTGCCCCTATGTAAAACACCACGACTTATTTATATTCCATAGACAACATTAAGAGCATAGCTCATTCTACTAGTATACGGGTCATCACTAGATTTATCCGCCTATGGATTTCTTTACAATGGGTGCTTATTATATTTTGTTGTCTAATGACCAAACTAACCATATGTACAATTTATTTTTACCACTTTGAACTTAAAAATTTGAGGTTACAAAAGACAAAGTTGGGTTCTCACTGTATATGATTACTTAATGGACCCTAGCCCCATTCGTATTGATGTCTTATTAATGTCATCTCTTGCAAGGCCTTTAATCAAAAGATCAGCCAAATTTCTCTTTGATCTTATATATTCTACACTAATAATTTCATCCCCAATTAACATTTTAATAGAATTATGTATCCTCGCAATATATGTAGATTTCTCATATGGGACTACCATATAACAAATTCTTTTGTCATTCGGCCTCTTTGCCTGCAGAGTCTAAAACAATAATTTCAAACTCCATAGTAGAGCGTGAAATACACATTTGTTTATTTGACGCCCATGATATGTCACCATCCGCTAATGTAAATATCTATCCACCAGTTGATAGTGAATCTTGGACTTCAGTAGTCCAATTAGCATCACTATACCCTTTCAACACTCCGAAATAATCCACATATTTTACGTCATAATTGATAGTTCCTTTCAAGTATCTAAATACTCGAGGTATAACATCCCAATGCTCTTTACTTGTGCAACTTATATATCTACTAAGTTTGCCCATTGCATATGCAATGTCAGGCCTCCTGCTAGTCATTGCATACATCAAACTACCAATTACCTTAGCATATTCAAGTTGAGATATACACCTCTCATCATTTTTCTTTAACTTAATATGAAGATTTATAGGGGTAGAGACTGGCTTACTATCAGTATGCTCAAATTTATTAAGCATTTTCTCAACGTAAAGAGATTGAGTCAAGATTAAGACTTTTTCTTTTCTCACTATTTTGATACCAAGTATTACATCAGCCTCTCATATGTCATTCATATCAAAGTGAGATGCGATGAACTTTTTAGTTTCCTCCACAATTTCTAAATTAGAGTCAAAGATAAGCATGTCATCCACATGTAACCAAATTATGACACAAAGAATTTATTTTCTTACTATACACACATTTATCAGCCTCATTTCTTTTAAAACCATTTGACATCAACACATTATCAAATTTGTTATGCCATTGTTTAGGTGCTTGTTTTAGTCTATAAAGATATTTAATTAATTAACAAACTTTATTCTCATGATCTGACATTACAAACCCTCCAGGTTGTTTCATATAAATTCTCCATCTAAGTCACCATTTAATAAATCAGTTTTTACATCCATTTGATATATGTCATGATGATTAGAATGAGCTATTGCTAAGAGCAATTTAATGGTAGCAATTCTTGCCACAAGGGCATATGTATCAAATAATCAATGCTTTCTTTTTGTTTAAAATGTTTAACAACTAATCTTGCTTTATATTTATTAATAGAACTATCAGAATTCTTTTTTCTTTTAAATAACCATTTGCAACCAATGGGTGTATAACTTGGTAGATATCTACTAATTTCCATGTATTATTAGCTATAATAAAATCTATTTCATTATTAATAGCTTCTCTCCAAAAAATTGCATCTTGAGATGCCAAAGCTTCATATAGGATCTTCCTCCAAATTTGAGACTATAGGTAATGAATTCAAATTTTTATTTTGATTAGTCTCAACAAAATAAATTTAAAGTCAGGTCAAAAAGTTGTAAGATGGATCACCTCTAATCTTTTTACTTTTTCTTGGTTCTATAATTTCATCATCATAATTTTCTATATGATCTTCATCTACATTATGATCATTTTCATGATTATTTTTATTTCACATGCTACTTGATTCATTCACTTCACTTTTACAATTGAGATTTTCAAAAAATTCAGCATCTCGATATTCTAAATTTGTGTTAGAAATTAGATCAAAAAATTTATGAGCTTTACTATTATGATAATATCCGACCCAATTTATTTCTTTTAGGATCTAGAAGTCTAACATATGCAAGACCACCCCAAACTTTAAAAAACTTCGAAGAAGTTTTTTCTATCAAACCAAAGTTGATAAGGTGTCTTTTCATACTTTTTATATGGAATTCTATTCAAAATAAAGCATGCCCTTAATAAAGCTTCACCCCACAAATGCAATGGTAAACGAGAAGTAATAAGTATAGCATTCACCATTTCTACTAAAGTTCTATTTTTCCTTTCCGCTAGACCATTTTGTTGAGGGGTATAAGGAGCATTTACTTGATGAATAATGCTATTATTTTTACAAAATTCATTAAAGTCATTTGATAAATATTCTCCTCCACTATTACTTCTAATGATTTTGATTTTCTTACTAAGTTGATTCTCAACTTTTGCTTTGAAAACTTTAAAATTTTCAAACGCTTCATCTTTATGTCTAAACAAATAAACAAGAAAATATAGGAAAATCATCAATAAATGTAATATAAGTATCTTTCACCTCCTCGAGCTAGAACATTATTTAAATCACATATCACTATGTATAAGTCCTAACAATTCACTATTTCTTTCAATTGAAAGAAATGATTTTCTAGTTATTTTAGCTTGTACACATACTTGACATTTTTTTTTAGTTAATTCATCACAATTGGAAATTAATCCTAATTTAATCAAAGATTTAATTGAAAAATAATTAACGTGTCCTAATCTACCATGCCATACATTACATAAAGTAACAATATAACGAGAAGATTTATTCATTTCATTAACAAGGTCAAATTTAACCATCACATCATAAGAGCATCCTTTGCCATCAAATATGCCCTTTTGTTGGCATTAGACTTTTGGTCCTCAAAATTTTCATTAAAAGGTTTTTTGTTATGTGGAGCATATGGTTTTTGCTTAACAAGGCATACCTTAGAGTAAAAATTAATTGATTCATCTTTTTTTTCTCTAAGTCTATTCTCTTCTTCAATTCGAATAGATATTTGAAGTTGAACCAAATCAAGATCAACTTTCTTGTTTTTTATCGTTTTTTTGTACTCTCTCCAAGATAGGTGTAACTTATGAATTATAGATCCTATTAGGAAATATTCATCAAGGAAATACCACAATATTTAAATTCATTGACTACAAGCAGCAACTCTTACACTTGAGAGAGTTTATGCTTGTTTTCAATAAATTTAAAATCTAAAAAATTAGATATCAGAAATCTTTTGTTACCATACGCTTCTTTGAGGTACTTGCTCTCAAGTAGTTTCCATAAGTCTCGAATTGTTGGAGATTTGGTGGGTAAAATGGGGGAAAAAAAATTGTACAATTTGCAAAAATCGATCTCGAACTCTTCTTGTTTTTGGGCACGCAGGAGCGCTATCTCAATAAGATATTTGCCCCCCTTTAATGTAGTATTTATTGTGCATAAGAAGGGCAATTCGTCCTCTATGCACCCGAGCTTGGAACCCATAATTTAGTATGTCAAAAAGCTCCCACTCTTATTCGTATGGGTAGGAGGCCCTTGTTATAGATCACCAAGAGGCTGCTCCCATTTAATGTTATGGTGGTTACACACTCTGTGACGGCTAGCTGACTGACACTCTTTGAAGGCAAGAAGACCGTCATATTCCTCTATGAGAAGTGCCATTGCACCAACGTACATGCGCATTGCATATTTCGCGTGCTCCGCACATGTGTCCTCTCTCTCCTTTGTACTTAACGTGTATTTATGGGAATGAGTTCTCTTAAATATGACTCAACAAACTCTCTCCGGTTGAATGTGGGACTCAAACCCACATCTTTCTCTCTCCACAAAACATTTAAGGAAAGAACAATAAAATCATAATCAAAATGATTTAAGAAAAAATAATATACCATAGTGTTATTTTGAAATACATATAAGTATTTTCTAAACCAAAAATTCTAACATTACACTGACCAGTTCGTGGTTACTCAGCCAGTTCTGAGCCTGGTTTGTGCAATCGAACACATATATAACATCTGTTATTAAAAAATGATCAGTAATTTTGATTTACTCAGGCAGTTTTGAGCCTGGTTTGTGCAATCGAACACATATATAAGATCTGTTATTAAAAAATGAACAGTAATTTTGATACCTATGTTCCCTGGAGAAAAGGAGAGAAACCCACCGGATGTTTTTGAGACAGTAACAGTGGCGTTTGTTTGGCATTTCTCGCATCTCATGCTAACCTTGACGTGCACCTCTAGCTGCAAAAAAAATCCTGCTCTTAATGTTATGATTTGCATATGTAACTGCTTAAAAAAAAGGGCAATGCATAAAAATCCTATTTTATTATTAAAAAAAGTACTTTTTTAGGATCGATAATTTTGTTTTCTTTTCTATATATCAAATTTAAGTTCAAATTTAGGGAGTTAGACACTTTTCACCATCTTACATAGGTAAAAACTACTAAAAACATTTTAACATAAAAATAACACAAGTACCCCTAATTTTTTAATTCTATAGGGGTATTTTGGTTGTTTTTTTAATTTTTCTTTTATAAGTGTATTATGATGCGAAGTACATATGCCCAAAATTTGAGCATAATCGGATACATAGACAAAAAAATAAAATTAAAATACAATATTCACTAGAAAAATGTGGACACGTAAAGAATAAAATATATCGTACTATTTTTCAACTTTAAAAATAAAAACTATATTTCAGTTACTTTTTTAGAAAGAAAAATAAGCATACATGGATGAGAAGACTATAAAATACACCGTGGTGTATGTTATATGGTATTAGTCAACCATAAGATCATCCATCTCCATCTCAGACAATGGATGGTAGAGATTAACCGTACTAATGCGATTAACCGTACTATTGCTTGTGCATGCTATCAGCAGGGTCTTTCAAACCTTCACATAAAAAAAAAGTTCAAACAAAAAAAAAGCACATATAGCATACTTCCATGAAAGCATATTGTACAGCATACTTCCATGAGAGCATATTGTACACACACTTCCACGACAAACCCAATTTTCAGCCAATCGAAAAATCCCATTTTTTCGATTGGCAATATGCAAATCAAAACAATCTGATACTGTGCCTCGACATAACATCCCACCCTCCATTCCCACAATTAATATGTAAAAAAAAAAAAATCCCAAATGTAAAGTGTTACCTTCATTGTTTTAGGTAATGATGCTCTTGAGAATGGCTTTTGTGATCTCCACTTTTCATATATCTTGAAACATTTATACAGAGGAAATGAGGAGGAAGTTTCCCAGTACCTTCTAACGAAGACGACAAGAAACTGTTTTGCTTAAATCAGAGGGAAGAAATTTTTTAAGACCCAATTTTTTCTTCTTGGTGGGGCCTATAAAATACATTGCAACTTCTACTATATACTTTGAAAGACACAGTGCAACTTCCACTATATACTTAATCAAAAAAAATGAAAAACTTCCACCAGATCAAATGAGGAGGGTTTCTTGTAGAGGCTTCTCTTTCTACTTCATTGTGGTTTGAAAAGATGGGAAAAGTAGAGCCGAAATTTCCATGGAAATAGTAGTCGGTTTTTTTTGGGTGAGTCAATGGGGAGAGTACCCCCTAGATAGGAATTCAGCCTTGATTGCAAATCGTCAGGCGCTAACCAATTAAGTCCGAGCTCTTTTTTTTAAAAAATAGTTGGTTTAGGGTAAAATTTTGCAAAATCATCATGTAACCCTGAATTCGACAAGAAATAACTCAGAATATATGACGACGACGCGTGGTTCATGAATGCACAGAGATGAAAAGATGGGCAGGGAAGTTGATGAGGGGGTGGAATAAAATGAAAAAAAAATGCTAGAAAAAACAATCTTTATAAGTCCAGATAAAGTTAAAAAATTACTAGAAAAATAGTAACAAATGTATAGTTGGGGATATTTTAAAGAATTTAAAATAAAAGGAAAATATAAAAAAAGAATATCTCCAAAAAAAATTTCAAAAAAAAGGACATCTACTTTTTGTAAATCATTTTAAATAATAATCAGAGGAAACTCTAAAAAGGCAACTCCCGAATTTTATTGAAAGACGGAAATACCTCAGCTTAGTAATCTAGAAGACTAAAGTCGTCCTATTAATTGAAGACGAAATTTCCAGGGTAAATTCCAGAAATGAGGAATTTGCCCGCATGGGTGGATAGTATGCATAGGTTTTCCCAAAATAATATATATGCCCATCATTTCTTTCAAAAAGTCTCTTTGCCAGTCTTTTTTTTTTAGTTTTTTTTTAAGTTAAGTTTGGTGGGATTTGGCCCCTAACTTTTTTTTTTTTATTAAGGAAAGGTTTTTGTAGTTCGTCAACTCTATAGAAGATAGATACTTCCCCCAAACAGAGGCCCAATTTAGATTAAGCGAGCCATTGATTATTTGATCTAGATCCGATATCTCAAAGTATTTTATATGCAGCTCTTAAAAAATGTATTAAAAAGAATTTTTTTGATAAAATATAATAACCAAATACCCCTTGAAAACTTCAAGAGTATTTTGGTTATTTTATTTTATTGAGAATATTTTATTTATATATTTTACATGTGTGAGTTTAAAATAGGAGTGGACGTCCAACATTTGATGTCAAAATATTTTGTAAGAAAAAAATAGTGTAGAGAGATTTCTTGCCAGCTTCTTAAACAAATATACACTATAAGGTCTTACAATCACCCATCCCATTGTTTTGGGATAGTACCTATTGCCTCTATTGCCATTTTCAAGTTCGCAATTTTTGGAAAGTTAATGACCTTTCAGAGTTAAGAAAGGCAAGAGGAAACTTACACGTACAATTATAAACTTTGAAAACAAGGAAGTTTTTCATTAATTAAACAGAAAGAGAGAGTCGTGCAAATGGTCTTGATAGCGGTAAAAAATTTTATAAAAATCAAAGGTCTTCTTGGCAGTAAAACAAATATAAGAAAATGAAAAAAACAGAAAAACTATTTTGCTACAGTGACCATGGCTCGAAAGAGAGAAGCGGACTAAGGTCCACAACCTCAACAACAACCAAGCACGTCAATCGATGGCGCATGAGGTTAATCCGTAATCACGACCCCATGGTTCCAAGGGAATAGAGGTCTTGGTCAATCTTGCCACACACAAAGGTTAGACAGTCTAGACATTTATAACTTTTTTTAAAAAAAACTATGAAATAGGTGAATAAGTCAAATACTATTTGTGATAAATAAGATTACAGGGAGACTAACAACTATAAAAAAAATAAAGGAATTTGTCTTTAAAATTGAATATTGTATCAAATAATTATAAATTTTATACATTATTTTTTAAATATTTCATTAAGACGTATCTATTTGGCATAAATTAAAAATAAAATAATTCAAATTTCATAAATAAAAATGATAGAGAATTAAGTTATATAAATAAAAATGAGAGAGAAATTAATAGAGGGTCTTTCTAATGCCAACATCAAATATAATAGTTCTTTAAGACATAAGGTCTTGCTACTACCTATATCCAATGTAATAGGCTATTAAGGCATACTTCAAAAGCATTGGCCCATACTAAATTTCAAAAAGAAAATTCTTTATTTTTTATACTTAGGATATTAATAATCTTTAACCAATTATGTTGCGAAATATAATTTTATTAAATATGAAATAGAATAATTTGTTTGTTAATTACTCTATATATAGTATTATATTGCCTGTTAAATAATTCTTGTTAAATATTATATTTCTTACTAATAAATTCTATTTATGTTATCAAATATAATTCATATTCAATAGTGTTAACTATGTCCTTAAGAAAAGGGCACTTTGAAAATTTAAAAATTGAAAAAAATAAATAAATATAAAAATAGTATTGCGGTGTGTGCAACTTTTTTTTTCCAATTTGGCTGTGGATGACAGAAGTTGCAAAAGAAATAGAAAATAACCAACAATAGAAAATAAATAATTA